ACAGCGCACAGGAGTTTTCTTTATACTGTGTCCTTATCTCCATGTGCTCTGTTTTTCACCATGATCAGTACATAGGAAGACCGCAAAGGATTTTGAACAAATTACGCAAACCTGAAGACGAAGATTGGTGATACAGTGTTCAGTTACGGCGAGAGAACCGTGGATGCAGTTTCGTTCTTTCTAGTATCTTCTTCCGCGCACTTGGAGCGCGTTTCCGGCACCGTCTTTTCAGGCGCACATCTTTTTGCGCCGGTAGCAGCCGTGTCTGCTGGAAGCTTGTGTAGTGTCTACTGTAGTGGAATCTAGCCATAAATCTGGCTTGGTCTGGCAACTGGAACACTCTCCAAGTTGGCTACGAACCAAGGAGGTTAGAAGTACTAGGAGGGGGCACGTTGCAATATTGGTGAAGCCTAGTCATAAAAAGTTTAAACGATTTTGTGCCCAGCGTGACCACAGATCTCTCTGGCGATTGGTGCGCGTGACATGTCACGTGTGAGATAAATGGTTGATTGTAGCAGGACTCCTTGCAGGCTTGCGCGCGCTCCGTCCGGTAGGTTTTATCAGATCGAAGTCTAGACTGTGGTGTATTCTAGTACCCCGTAGCAAGACGGAGGCTAGCTACGGTCACGTGATGTGGTCACGTTGGCGCGGTAAGTGAGGAGAGTAAGGAGGAAAATGAGAAAGAGGCGAGGCGTCAAGGGAGCATGGCTTGTGGAGGCTACGCGGCCGACGTCATGCCCTCTCCTACCCTTCTATTCTCCATGCTACGAACTAACGAATAAACGCCAGTACGAATTGTTGTTTCAATTCAAGGGAATCCTTCCCTTTTTCTACACCTCCAACATTACAGCTGGAAGCAGGCGGGTTGGAAGAGTGCCCATGGGTTTGGAGAGCCCTTGACACCTTGACTACTGAGTGGAGCACGTGCCTCGAGCACGTGCACCACTCATTGGCGCCATCGACTTCTGCGTTGCTCAGCAGGGTCAACCCTAGAAGAGCATTGTTGACAGTGTAAAGGCTCATTCACACTGCCTCATTTTCTTACGTTAAGTTACGTTACCGTGTCTTGAATGTTTGGAACGGCTTCAGGAGGCGGCCCAGTCGAAGTGGACGGCTGCCACCTCCGATGCAGTAGCGTCCAGGGCTAGAATGTAGCTCCGCAGTCACCCGGTATGGCTTTATGTCGTCATCGTCGTCGTCTAATTCACTGTAGTAGAGTTACAAAGCGACGCCAAGTGTCCAATTACGGCTTCCGGTTCAATAAAGAAATGCCACCAAGGGCCCGCTGGGGACGTCATTATGACGTCACTCTGCGGCGCATCTTTCGAAGACGACGACGTTTTCGTCTTGCTGTTCGTCGCAAGGAGTTGCTCCGCTCCAACGTGGAGGATCGTGGCATGGATAGTAAGACCGACGCCTGGGCCAGGTATTTTCTCGATTTGCTTTCGCACACGGTCCGATCGCGGAGCGTTATCGAGTCGCTATCAGGGAGATCGAAGGGATCGCGTGTTCCTCTGGCAGTGCAAGGGTCGTGATGATCCTCGTGAAGTTCATCGCGATTCTTTCATGCGTCCAGAATCTTACGTACGCGAAGAAAGTAGGACGATTCGGGCCATTTTTATCGTCCTACTAGAGCCACCAAATACGCAATACATTTCTGCAACTATCACTAGACCGTGCACGAAGGTGACCGTCAGGAAGTCCTTTGGAGGATCGGGCGAAAAGACTGACATCGTCCCCCTCCCTCCGGATCTTGCTGCTTGAAATCATTCTTCCGGGTCATCTGAAATTTTGTCTGCAATCACAGGAAAGTGTTTTCCGTCCTCCAGGCTTGTTAAAACAGTCAATGAGCTTCCTGATGCCGTATTTGAAGCTCGAAAAGTCGCATGTTCGAATCGCAACGATCGCCAAATGCGCGCGCGCTCAGCATCAAGCGCCAAGATGGTGGCATCTACAAGAAAATTGGAGAATAGTATAGGAAGTATTCACTGGCGGCCATAGCTGTGTGCGCGACTGCTGAGCGAGTGCTGATGGCGAGCTTCCACGGTTCTTTTGTAACATGCATTCCGCACCCTCAAGATTGCCGGTCTTAGCAGCCTATTAATGTGGGCTCGTTCTGAGCATGCGCTCAGAACGAGCGCATGCTCATGTTCTGAGCCGCTGGTGCCCCATGCGTGCAAGCACGTGCACCTTGCGCGCGTGAACGTATAGCTTTGGCAAGCTTGCAATTGCACGGGCCTGTCCGCGCTAGAGTAAGCATTTACAGTTACTCCAGTCCACACGAGGAGAGACATGGCGCTAGAAATGCGCGTTTCAAAGCCAGGAGCGCGGGCTAGCTCCCACTTGTATACCTTTGGCCGCAGTCTCAATACATAGCTTGCATGTGCTGTCCTTCGCGGCCATACCATATGCGCCGCGAGCGTTCGGTTCGCCTTGCTAGTCTCACACCGCAGAAGTCGTAGTTCGAAGGAACTAAGTAGAAATTACCGTCAGTCCCGTGCGGCCAGTGCGGCCCTCAGAAGCAAATGGCGACAAAGCCCTCTCTTGTGGCACTTGTCGCGCACGTTTGCACAACGATGGTTGTCTGCCCTAGTAAGAAGCGCGAAGCGTAAATTTTATCAACGGGCTTTTTAGGCTGGTTCATTCTTTCCTCGCTCCTGTAGTCTGCTAGCGCGTCAGTCCGCCATGTTCTTCCTAACTCGTCCACCATGGCAGTGTTCGAAATCTTCATTGTTACTTTGCCGAATCATGTCACGTGACAACTCAGAACATCGCTGGACGCGGATACTTCCAACGACAAGGTATCAAACTGTCACCCGAGAGAAGTTGTGAGGTCGAGTCTAATCCGCCATGTTCTTCCTAACCGGAAACGGAACGCGGGCGCGGGCCAATATAGGAGAGCGCGTCGGCACACCAATCGGTTTCGCTACTTAGCAAAGCGTTAATCCAGGGATCTTAGTTCACAGATATCGGTTGCCTTTGGAGCAACCGAAATGACAGTAACGACAATGTTGTCTGGAGATGTCCCTGTGACTTGAGGAAGTATACCTTCGCGAAGCAATCACGAGTCAAGGTTTCTCCGGCCTTCGGGTCGTTTTGTTTGGGTTGCTGTGAACGCAACCGTCGCAAATGTGGGAACCAGCATTTATATTGTCGTGCACGCAAGCGCGAATTTACGGTCGATGTCTGATAATAGGGAGTTTTCGTAGATCGTTTTCGCCGTCCCGCAAGGCCCTCCGCAACCCGCTACGATAGCGGGAACTCCACAGTCAAGGCTATCGACGCGCAGGCGCAGTAGCGACTTCTTCGTTGCGGAACGCTTAGCGGAGGGGGCAGCGCGGTCTACGAAAACTCCCTAATAGGGAGTTTTGGGGAACCGTTTTCGCGCTTCCGATACGGTACGATGGGCTCTCCGGTACGAACTGCGCATGCGCAACCATAGAATACTCGCGTATGCGCAGGTCGTACCGGAGGGCTTATACCGTATCGGATGCGCAAACACTGTTTTTTAAAACTCTCTAATAGCGAGTTTTAGTATTGCATATACGAGCGAACGCAAGCACTCTTGTGTTCGCGGCGCGTGTTCCGCTTTTAGCGGAGCCCAAACTGACACCGCTGACTCAGTCAAAACCGACACCGCCACTCGGTTCCCCAAGTATTAATCTCCTGCAGGCTGCTCAAAGCTAAATGGGTCACTGCAGCAGCTTGAACGTCTTTCTCAGGCTGGGCTGTGATAGGGGAGTCAAAACTTTACCACATAGTTCCAACTATATATAGGCCCAGGAATAGCACATAACCTGCAAAAGCTCTTCGCGTTGTAAAGGAACCAAATAAAACTACTTGAGTTTATATACTTCGGCACTATTTTCGTTATAAATACTTGTCAAGTCACAACCAAACTGCGGTGGCTGTATACATGCCTTGCATGTGAAGTCATATGGCACGGTAGCAGCCGCCATTGCTCCATACCATGCTCCTGAGCTCCTATCTTCTGCAGCATACATCTCGCAAAAACGAATTTGTTCTTCTTGGCAAGTCTTCTGAAGAAGAACAGGTTCAATGATGCCAAATGTATGCCGCAAACAGTACGCACACAGGAACATGGTGCGGAGCAATGGCGGCTGACATGACGTCGATACAAGCCATATATTGAAACTAGGTAATAATTTAATCTGTTTACCCGTAAAGTTCCGAAAGAACGCCCACCCAAAATGAAGGGATAACTGGTGAAAAACATGGGGTGGGCTATCTTTGGGGATGCCACAGCAAAACTTTATCAAAAATTAATGATAAACACTTTGGCACCGGCTACAAACCACGTGACACGGGAACTAATACTGCAGATCGCGGAGATCGCAAATTCGCGTTTCACGATGCGATAAACACGCGGGAATTCGCTACGAACTCCTGTGTCACGGGATAAAATACCGCAGGTTCCGGACGCAGCAGATTCGCGTTTCACGGTGCGAAGGACCCTGCGGAAACCCACCGAGAACTCCGAATACCGCAAATCGCGGACCCAGCAGATTGAAGTTTTATGGTGCAATAAACACGCGAGAGCCCCCTTACAAACTTGCCTGTCACGGGGACCGATATCGCACGAGCAGATCGCAAACAAAAACGCGGGCATCCGCTGCAAACTCGTATGTTACGGGAACAAACACCGCAGATCACGAACGCAGCAGAATCGTATTTTACGATACAATATACACGCGCGGGACCAACTCGCCTGGAATCGAGATCGCGCGCGCAGATCGGGGACAAAAACGCGGGAATCCGCTATGAACTCGCTTGTAAGACAGCAAATTGCACGATTGATGCGATTCCCGTCGAACATCGAATGAAGTCCGGCGAAAATCGGGGCGGGGGGGGGGGGGGGGGGGGTTTCGGAATTTTTATGGTACAGATATTTGTCCAGAAAAACGGGGTGGGCGATCTCTCGGGGGCGGGCGTTCTCTCGGAGCTCTACGGGTAGTAATTTTTTAGGAAAAACACTAGACATGACCTTTACAGCTCTGGTTTTTTACACCTTTGAATATGCTTATGGGAAAATCAATTACACTTTTTTTTTCGCTGCCAATATTTATTTTTGGCACTGTCTTCCCAGATGTATGGAGAGTCTGGAGCCTAAGGCTCCCACCTGGACGGAGAATGACCTGCTGGTGCTGATCACGGAATACTGGAAGCGGAAGGTATGTGTTACGCATATGGTAAAGATTTGGTATACATTGTGGTAGTTGGCGCTGTTTTCTGCATGCTCTACTTATGAAGCAATACTGATCTTGAAACGTTTGGAAATTATGTATTGAAAGTGGAACAATAACAACCAATAATCTTGCTTTTTTTATGGGGGGGGGGGGCTATTGAAAAGAAAAGCAGCAGCTCTGACACAGCAGTTGGTTTTATGTTAACTTTCACGATCGTGGGAAACTCCCTTTCTTATTTATATATAATTTGGCTTTTTTTAGTAAGGGTATCTATACCCGTGACAAAGAATCTATGTATAATTGTGACCATGGAGCCAACGCGGAAGATTCCCCCGCATCAGCCGCTGCTCCTAGCACGCCGGTGCAAAGCGGTGAAGCTCGACGCGTGCAGTGGTGCGATGCAGTGAAACTTGACGCGCGGTCTGTGATGGTAAATTTAACTCCACGTGAAATGAAACTTACGGAGCCAGAGAAACTTACAATGCACATGCATACATCTGGCTTTTGAAGTGTATGTTTCTAAGCGGATTAACAGCGGCTCGATGCTTCGCGTCGGATGAAAGTTTTTGGACGTAAGAACCGGGAAGGCAAACCCAACTAAGGGAACATTGATACGCATAACTCGGTGGAAGCTCAACGGAACCGGCGCTTGTGAATGCAACGGCCGGGAAAGCGTAGAAACCAAGAACACATCAATGGGTTCTGTAATGTGTTTAAGTCCCCACCTCCCCCTGCTAAACTAAAAATACCCTAAAAAATGAAAAAAAAAAAAAAAAAAAAAAATGTTTACAATCCTCTGTAACGGCGAATTAGACTGCAGCTCTTGAGGAGGAGGGGAAAATACAAAGAGGAGGTTATGCTCCTCATCCGTACCCTCCCCTCCTCCTCTCCTGTTTGCCTCCAATTTAGCGGGAAATATTTCGCTAAATTTAGCGGGGAAATTTTTCCGCTAAATTTAGCGGGGAAATTTTTCTGCTAAATTTAGCGGGGAATTTTTTCCGCTCAATTTAGCGGGGAATTTTTCTCTAAATTTAGCAGGGAATTTTTTCGCTGAATTTAGTGGGGAAATTTACCCATAATGCAACGTGCGGTGACGTCACGTGTGACGTCATCATGGGAAACGTTCCATAATGCACCGTGCGGCTACGCCGACGGCGACGCTGCTCAGGCCGGAAACGGGTGCCTAAGAGCTGCGCTCTAAAACATCTTAGCAGTTGTCTTCAGCGATATCTTTAATCGTGTCTAGCGGATGCCACCAAAAGCGAATCACGTCGTGTTCACGGTAGCGGCAATCGATGTTCATAACAAAGCATGCTTTGTTGGAAAAAACGGCACCCTCAATTTCATTTTGCTGCTATACACCGCAATATTAATTCCAAAAAACATGCACTGGCAAGCCAGTCGGAGCCACAAATAATGCCACCACTTGTAAGTTGCAGCGAGTGCACCTTTTCTTTTCTACATTGATCGGGTCCACCTTGCCGACTGGTCATTCGTTCACGACCCGGTGTTGCCTGCTCTGCCCGGATGTGTGGATGGTGACGTGACACTCTTCCCCAGGAGATACTGCGTGCCAAGGCCTCTGAGAGCGTGACAAACCTGCAGAAGCGGGAATGCTGGATCGAGATCACGGAGGTGGTGAATGCACGCTGCTTCAGTCCGCACTCCAAGAAAACCATGGACCAGCTCAAGCGCAAGTGGGAGAAGACCATCATGCTCGCCAAGAAGGCTGCGCTCAGCATACAGAAGCGGTCGGGTGAGTAGGGCCCCTAGCTGCTCGCTGGAGCTCCGCGGACATCCATTCCTGTATTAAGTGATTCAGGGATATCCTTTCTAGAAGCATCCGTTTTTGGCGGTATCCGCGAGTTATTGGGGATATTGGCGAGTATATCGGGGATATTGGTGAGTATATCGGGGATATTGGCGAGTGTATCGGGGATATTCGCGAGTATATCGGAGATATTCGCGAGTATATCGGGGATATTCGCGAGTATATCTGGGACATTCGCGAGTATATCGGGGACACCCATGAACTTTCTGGAGGCATCCATATTCAAGTGTTATCAGGGGACATACATGAGTTATCAGTAGGGCTCCGTGTTTTCGGATAAATCCGAAAAACTCCGAAAAACACCCGCCGGTAAAATTTTGGTCAATTCGGATTTATCCGATAAACTCCAAATATTTATCTGTCAGTGTTCATTTTTTTTTTTTTTTAAAGTTTGATTAGCACAGAGTTAATGGTCCTGGGAAAATTGCACAATAATTATCTTTCAAATCTCGGACCGTTGTCAACAGGGGTCTTGCCACTTGTCTCTTCAAGGTTGATTCAGGGCAACAGGTCGTTCGTTGTACATTCGGGTCACAACAAAAGCCACTCTTTTGGTTTCCAGTTTGTGATTTAGAGAAAGGAAAGGGTATGTATTAGTAACAGTGAAAGCTATGGACCATGTAGATTGTATAAAATTGGGAAGAGGGGCAGTTCAAACTCTCTATTACCTCCTTAACCGCTCCACCTCACTCGGCCGCGGGCTAGATTGATGGAATAGGATGGGATGACTACGAGCTTCCTAGCGACTACCTCCGGGAGTTTAGTGATTTTAAGGTATCGGCGTTTATCGAAGTGGCACTTGTGTGTGACTTTTGTCGTGGATAAACAGCGCTACGTCCGTGCCACTTCTCTGTCTGGTCCTCGTCTTTTCGCGCTGTTTTTAAATCTGATGGATAAATTAAATTAGTATTGCCAATAGCAATGGCACCAACGCCAAATTCAACTGAAAATATTTCAATTCATACAAGCGCGTCTTCTTTTTTTATCTGGCATACGTTTACATTCGGTTATTATTTATTTATTTATTTTTAATAGGAAACACAACGAAATTAAACTCCGAATTTCGGAGAATTGGGAATAAAAAAAATATAAACTCCGAATCTTCGGCAAAAAATAAACTCCGAAAAACACCCTCCGAATTTGACGAAAAATAAACTCCGAAAACACGGAGCCCTAGTTATCAGGGACATCTATGAGCTTTCCTGAGACATTTGTTATTGGGAGATATCTGCAAGTTTCTAGAGATACCTGGAAGGGTTCTGGGAGTATCTGTCAGTCCTATGGAGATATTCTGTAGTTGTGTGAAAATATTTAAAAGTTATTTGGACATTTTAAGAAGTTGTTTAGAGATATCCGGAAGTTATCCACATATATCTGCAAGATATCTGAGGGCACAAACTTTCGGCAGGTATTTGGAAGTTATTAGGAGATATCCGCAAGTTCTCTCGTGACATCTGGAATTTATCTAGAGATATTCGGGAGTTGTCTGAGGATATCTAAAAGTTATCTGGGAAGTGCCACAAGCTTTTCTGGGATCCGGGAATAACTGCAAACTTGTGGAATTGAATTTATAAAATTTCAGATGTGTTTCTAACTCAAAATTTATAATTGATTTAATGCATGCTTTTAATTGCTTATAATGATTCAACAGATGAATAAACAAGAATATACATTACACTCAAAAGCAATTATGGTCAGAATAGTCTGCAAAGGCAACTTTAGGTGTTTCTTAGGAACATTTTCAGATTCTGATAAAATAAACTCATTTAAAAATTTTATCTTATTGAATTTTCTTGATGCTATCAACAATATCCTGACTAGCATAACTTGAACATGGACCTTTTGCATGCTTAGTTTTGAAATGACAGTGCCTTTTGATAACAAACTTTGTTTAGAAACGCGAAAGTGCTTGCATTGACAAAAATACAGACAGTGCACTGACGAGCTGGTAGAAGTCCATCATGATGACTTTAACCAAAGACTGTGGCAGAAAAAGGAAATTTGTTTTACAATATATTTTTTTCCATTATTGTAAAATTGCTTCCTCCTTCTGGCCCAGCCTCAGGTTAAAGTCATTATGATATCTGCATTGCTTTCTCTCAAACGACCACTTTGAGCCAATAGGTATTTTCTCCCAGGCATGAATATCACAAGTTCGTGATTGCCAAATAAGACCTTTGAGTTACATCTTCATATTCTTTTGGGCAGATAACCCCTACAATAGGCAGTTTTAGAATAGCACACGCTAAAGCTTTGTGTACGCAAAGAATAGCTTTGTCGCCACTGCACATGCGTTAAACACCGACTGCATTGCACTTTGCGCGTGCTATTTTAGCATATGCTATTTTTCAGAAATTGCGTGCGTGCGCAAAGAGTCTTCGTGCCCCTCCAAGAGGGATTCGTGATGAGAAGTTGGCTAAAGCCAAGATGAGCACAGCTAAAAAATGGCGGCTCCCAGGAATGCAACTGTGGCCGCTTTGGCGGCGTTGTGATTGCGACTTGAGCAGCACCTTCACAACTGCGATTTTAACAGAGGACGACATTGCACTCGTACGGGAGGTGCACGTCATAAACGTTTTGGAAGGCCCAGCATGGCAATGGTGAGACCTCTCTTGCCAAGGCGACGCAAGCGGACACAACCGGTCAACCGCTCGCGTCGCATTCTCAAATTTAAACAAATCTGAAATGTCACTTTGAACCAAAAATTTTGGTTTTTCTCAAGTTACTGCATTTCGTGTGTGAAATAAAAATTGTTACTGCATCTAGGTAGCGTTGCAAGCACGAGATGCTTGGGCTTTTTCGTCGCGGCAGAGAAACGCTACTCTAATAATACACTCATGCATAGCATGCACTAACACAAGCGCTAAATTTAGCACTAGTGTGTGCTAAAATTGAGTATATTATTCTAAGACTCCCTTATAACTGGGAATCTGCCTGTGTGCGCTATTAACGATTGATATTAAAGGCATTCGCTAGGTGGTGCAAGACGCCACCGGTTTCAAAGAGTGTGACCACACTCGCCCGTCCATCCAGTGTGAATCCAGAGTCAACTGTGGCTTTTCGTGCAGGCAACCTGTCGGACCTGGCCCCGGCCTACCAACTGGCTCTGTCCATCGTCTGCGAGGACTTCCCGGCATCCCTGGAGTGCCAGAACGGCCTCGCGGCAGCAGACGCGTCCTCTCTCACTGATCACCAGCACGCCACCTACATTGACGAGGTGTCCAGGTAGTGACTCTCCTGCTCACTAAAGACCTCTTCACACATACATTTGAGCACTCTTCCTATGTCAGTGCTCGAGACTGTGCTGTTCTAGAGATGAAGCAACACTTGCTACGATCTGTTACAGATTAAGAAAGGCAGAACAACCCCTTCACACGAAGCTCTCTGGTCGTCTCGATTGGTGGTCTCCTTCTTGTCACTGGGCTCTACTCCAGCGTTTGTTAAGGTGGAATGAGAGAAGGCTTTGTGGGAGGAGATTCTTCTGCGCTTCTTAACCTGCAACAGAGTATAATACAGTGCTGATTTAGCAGGAGTGACTGGCTTCAGTGGCGCCATCTGATGTTTTATAGTTGAAACATTTCAAGTATGTGTCACAACCCTTATGGTTCTGGTGACTTATTCCTGTTCGAGATCAACATGTTCGACAATGTGTGCAAAGAACATCGTCGAAGTCCAGAGCTTGAACCAATATTGTATATCCTGCTTTCCTTAGTACGAAGTTATCTCACTGAGACAGCAGACGGAATCAGACGTGCTACAACAAACAAAGAGCTTGCATCCGATGTATCGTTTGCCACCCATCAAGGAGAGAGCCGTCTGCGGGGTCGAAGCTTCATCGCGCACATGATAACTCTTCTCCGCCTTTTCGTGCATCCTTTCTAGCTCGTTTAGGCAAATGCAGTTCGGTTATTGTGCCTAAAACGCGTCTCTGGCTGGTCTGTTTGGCGTCCCATTCTGCCTACGCATCAAAAGTGGTCCCGGAGCGGCAACAAATGACGTCACAAAAGCCCTCCGGCTTTTGTGACGTCGGTTAATGATGGACGTTTGCAGCGGTGGTGGACGTCTGCCACATCCGCTGCCGCGACACCGACAGGGTCAGAGACAACGACATCACGACACTGTCGTCATCAGGTAGAAATAGAGGGACCATTTTTTTTTATGGCGTAAACGCACGAGTTGGAGACGCACTGCAGGCAGCGTAATTAGGTCGACTTGCTTGCCGTATTCCAACGACTTTTTGAAGCCAAAGCAAAAAACTTAATTGCACGGTCTCGCTTTTTGCCCCGTCGTTCGCAGCATGGTCATCACGGAGCTGGAAGAAGAGTCGTCGACGGACGCTCCTCCACCGGCCTCGGAGCACAAGACTCGGCAGCCAATCAGGACGGAGATGCTGAGCGAGGGTGCTGAGTGTCCGCATCCGCTGGGCAGCCGTCCCTTCCAGCCGGTCTTGGCCGTGGGGCCCGAAGACGGCGCGGCCTCAGCGGCAACGCTGGACGCCCACTCCAACCATGGGGTGAGAGAAACGATATCCGTGGCACATTGCTCTGTCCTTTGCTCTTCATCTGCAGGGAAATGTACAGTGTCATATTTTCTAAAGGGGTCATTTTAACACTCTTAACATTGCAAGAATCTGCGGCGTATTGCTCTTATTTCCTTTACGCTATTTAAGGTAGAAGGAAGCATATCGCTTCTCCCCAGATTGTTGCGGCTCCACCGTGCAGTCACCGAGCGAAAAATCGACTGGCTTAAACATTCCATCAAATGCAATGAGGGAGCGATAGCACTAATGCGCAGTTCCTACACCACCACCGTGTGGAGTTGGGGAGTAATCGGTTTGCTGACCTTTTCCTCCCTCCCGCCACTCCGCACGGTGCAACACCGATGGTCGCAGACTGTTACTTCAGACCGACAACTGTACCTGCGCTTTGTAATGCAGTCGAACACACCCAAATGGAAATATGTGAACCAGCCTTTAAAGGAATTGTCCGGTCGAAACCGGAAGTACTTAAAGGAGCTGTGCAACAATTTCAGGGCTTTGCTTAAATAATTGTGGAAGTTGATGCCTGACACTTCTGCAGTGAACTACAGAAAACAGATTTTGCCTGGATACCCTAGTTTTTACATAAAAAAATGAAAAAGATCCAGGTTTTTGCCGCCTCTCAACTCGTGCATCGTCTTCCGGGTCACGTGCACAGTGACGTCACTAGAGTAGGCGCGGAGTTCCGGAAAAGTTCTCTCTTTAGAGCCATCAGCGAGCAGCGAGAACTCATCCGCTGCCGACCGCGTGACCACCCGTCCTTGCCCGTCCGGCGCTGTCCCCCTCCCCCTCCGGCTTCTGGCGGCTGTTCGCGGTTTTGTGGACCTAGGATAGATGGCGCCACTAAAACTCCGTATAATAAAAGTTGTCGATGATACCAGGGTGTTGACGCATTTATATATATGTTGGAACGACAAGATTTGTAAAAAGAGTTACCTTTTATCGAGCAGGTATTCGCACAACTTGCTATCTTTCTTACAACGACCCAAGTGACGTCACGCCGCTTGTTTCTCATGGCCGCCGCTCGTGGCTGCAGGTCGGGAAATATTCCAAGTTTTGCCTCGCTATTATGCAGCGGAATCGCAACATTGCGATGAAAGGAGGTGTGTTTTCTGCCATTTGTGACACAGTGAACAATATCAAAAGCAGAAAATGCCAATTCTTTCAACGTTAAAATCGTTGCACAGCTCCTTTAAGTTTTTGCGCTCGTTACATCGAAGGTGCCTTCATATAGACAAACGCCATTTTCATTTTGATATATGATCTCCCCCTATTAATGAAACCTTTTGATGAGCGTATGTACGAAACTGCACCCCGAATTCGCCAGTGTCAATGGCCGACATCTGTAGCTACTATGACGTCACAAAACCCAAAGGTTTGTTGCGTGGTCGAGATAACAAGCGTTAGTCGATGGATGTCTTGTATTTTGCTTCGAATTATGTTCTCCTAGGTCGTACCCTACTGAAATACGTTTCTTTTAATGCCGTTCCCAAGCGTGTGCAAAAAAAGTCGCGCCTTTTAGCAGGATATTACTCGAAATCAGCCATAATCTTCGAGCAAACGTATGTCGTTTCGCGCAAACACAACTGCGACGGCCACCAGTCGAACTAGGAGCGCTTGCAAAACAAAGGATGCAGATTTTGTCTCTGAATCGGCACCTAGGTACACGAAGCGGCATCTGGGTACACATTTCGGCGGATCCACTGGATCGGTGATGAGGCTGCGAGTCGTTTTCTCGGAGGCGATGACCGCGGGTCGAATGCAAACGGTGAATCTTTCAAGTGCATGTTTTCACTTGACTTGGACGAGCTTGGTGAATCGTAGCCACGCTCCATTTTCGCACACAGGTCTAACAGAATCTGGCTGCATGCGTGCTGAATACAACTTTTGGCATGGTTTCCAGATGGCCTAGCTGTTGGTTTCGGTTTCGCAGCATAATCAAACCGATTGATCCGATATGGACGGGGAGTGGGTGGACGTAGTTGAATATCGTTGGAACGGCATCACACCTCAGCTTACGAGCCTTCTGTCCGCTTAGAGCTCAGCTCGTAGCTCTCTTTCGTGAGATAACCGCTGCAAAAGCAGGACCTCGATCTTGACGGGAACCCAGCCCCTATGCACGGCAACGATCCATTTTGCTTGTCACTCCACGTTTCGTGGAAAAGTGTAGAACGTCACGTTTTGGCTCGCACGTGATGCCTGGCGGTTCTGGCGCCCAGCTGCGCAACAAAAATCTCATTCATCCATGAAACAAGTTGAGCGCAACAACAAAAACGAAGCACAATGCTGCGTTCACTTGCAGGAAAACGACGGGACGAAAGTGATCGCTCTGTATTGTGTCACGTCGTAGCTTCAATGTTGCCAACGAAAGCAGCGTTTGCGCTAGGATGTGATTAGACCAGCATAAATTCGAATTACTCATGCATAGGGGCATGTAAAATTCAGATATTGCACGTACGATGTGTCTCGAGGCAACAAGAATAATATCCAAGTGTTTTCCCGAATACAAAATTTGACCGGACAATCCGTTCTTTGTTCCTCAGGCAGAAGCAGACGAAGACGACAGGTTTGACTTCCCCTCCAAGTCGGGCCAGAAGCGCAAGTGGGACCCTGACCTGATTGAGCTGCAGCGGGAGAAAGTGCGCCGGCAGATCCAGTACCACAGGACGCAGCACGAGCTGCAAATGAGCGTGCTCCGGGCGCAGATGGACTTCTGGGACATGAAGAAGTCCAAGCTGGCTGCCGAGATTCGCCAGATGGCTCCCGTGCGGTCCCCCGCTCCCGCTGTCACGCCGGACGACCCGTCGTAGGGTCCAGCCTCGCTGCTCCGTCTGGACATTCCAGTCGTGCTCAATGGTCAAAGTCGTCGTTCCAGACGGCTTAGGTTGTAAGCCGCAAATCTGCACATCTGTACCGTCGTTGGACCCACGGGCAACGTGATGAAATGCTCGGATAGATCGTCGTTCGAGCTTTTCGTCTGGTTTTGGCCGTGGAAAGACGTATTGTGTTTTGCCGAGAATCGATTCCAAGGAGCCGACACTCTGAGTCGTGAATTTACAGATGCAGAGGATGTGCTGAATGCAGATCTGCAGCAAGTGAGGTGTGGAGTGTTAACGTACAGGTTGTTCAATTTCAATTTGAACAGATTTTTTTAAAAATGGGAGGTTTGAGTGTCATACAAGTTCCGTCTTCATGTATTTATCAGGTTCGGTGGATGTTAGATGAGGGGATAATCGTCACGGTAAGTTGACTAAATAACGAAATTCTCTTAATTAGCTTGTTAATTATTGATTTTAGGGTTCATGTTGGAATTGCAGTATTGACGGCAATTAAAATGAGAAGCAAGACAGATTTAAATAGTTTTGCGAAAAGGTAATTGTTTTTCAGATATTAAACGACCAATTTTCGTTATCGCCCAATCAGAAAATTGTGCTAAAAGAAAGTGTTGCACGCCCACAATGACGGTTTGAAGAGTGACATCGTCGTTTCTATCATGTCATCAATATCTCGGCAGCGTGACCTTAATGGGTGTGCTGAGGACCAGTGACAACGTGGCTATGTTGCTCGTCCAAGCGTCAATTTGGGCAGGGCTTGATGCGCTCTTTTTTCGCACGGTTTTTATATCGGTCAGAACAAATGCAAAAATTTATTAATTAATATCTCGATAACCACTATTTTTTTGCAAATTCTTTAAATTTGTCTTTCCTGTAATAGTATTTGCCATCAATACTTCAGTTTGCAACATGGCCCCTAAAATGAATAAATAAAAAGTAAATTAACATATCTTAGTTAATTAGTCAACTTAGCATGCCGATTATTCCCTAATCGAGCATTATAAATACATGGTGAAGACAGCACTTGCCTAACTCTCACCCCTTTTTTCTATATCTGTTGGAATTAAAATTAAACACCTTGTATGAGCATCTGCAAGTTGCCAGGTGCAGCATGAACGTTATCCTTTTGTTGATTGACAACTTTCCCCACCCGGTCTTGCAACCATGTACAGAGAGGTCTTGCAAACATTGGTAGCACCGCAGCTCGCTCCTCACCTTTCCCTCGAGGATAACTAACGTCTTATCAACATTGGTGGGACGTTGCGGATGTTCATGGATGTCGGTGATGTCTCGCGGACATACGGGTATGGGATGTCAGATTACAGAATGCTCGCGACAGGCCGTAATTTACGAAACGTATATGGGACGTCACTCCAGGGGACTTTTTTTTGGATGTTGTGGGCGTCGGGCAGATGCCTGATGGGCAGCGCTGATGAGTGTTGGTAGCTTCCGCACGGTTACATTCAAATTCAGTAACAGCCAATGGACGTTCATAGGACGTGGCTGATGTTTGAAACATGGTGTGTCGTATAGGTCCTTTTTCCATGCTTTCCGATATTTCCTTCATGCACTGTGTGTTCTCCGCTTTGCGGATGACAACACAGCCATTCCATCAGTCGTGACTCTCGCCGTTCAGTCTCATGGTTCGTACAAATTTCCAGTGTTGCATAGGGTGCTCCGTGTAATTATTAAGAGAATGGGAGTTTTCCCCTTGTCTGTACTTTGATAAATGTATATTTTTTGTATATGGAATAAATTATGTTTCTCCGAGTGGGCAGTTTGGTGGACGTGTTGCTCTTACTATTTTTCAATATGCTGAGAAAAATATTGGGGCATGTCTAAGGAAGTGAGCGCTCTTGCATTCAGACACTTTGTTGTTGTTTGCTTTAGCATCTCTACGGGAGATAGTGCACATACAGAGACGTGTCTTCCTCGCACAGACAAGTCCCTCGTATCTCAGTGATGGAAGTGCTACGCCATCTACGCCATCTACGCCAAGTTGCGCCTTGAACGAAGGTGTGCTACATGTTACGCCAAAGTGCCATTTTTGCTCAAGATTGCGCCACACCCGCGCCAAAATAGACAAATCATAAAAACAATATATTGCTTTATTTTAATCTGTACAGCAGTAGGAGGAAAGAAAAATGGTAAAATATGCATTTCAGAAAGTCTCAGAAAGACGAAACTTGCGCTTCGCGTTGGCTCGTAGCAGCGGCTGCGCTTTAAGTTAAGGTAAAATGAAGAACTGAGATCGCTCGTCAACCGCGCTGGTTATTTGATGCGCTGGCGGATGGATCGCCGACTTCGTCTAAATTTCCAGAAGGTGTCGGCGATGTGATGAGCTGAAAGTTTCGAGAAACCTTTGCCAAATTGTAGGATGGCGGCTACTGTGATGAGACAGAACTGAACTCGTGTCCTCCTGGTGAGGTCACTCGATTATCATGTCTGCCGCATGCCTCCGTGTCGTCTCTCAACAGCGCGGGTGTCGAGCTTCACCGCTTTGCACCGGAGTGCTAGGTGCACCGACTGAGACGGGTGAGTGCCTGGGTTAGCGCGATAGGCTCAGTGCAATTCCAGGTCTACTTTTTTATATCTTTTTTTTTTGTCCTGGTTGTAGATTGTTCTTCACTTTTCAAAATATGCACCGAAAAAAGAATAACCGGGTCTATCTTTGAATAAATGGTAGTCAAGGCTCTTCCCGTGCAGCGGTCGATCGAAATAACAGCGAACTTCGACTTCATATTTGGTTCCAACGCCGCTAGAGAACAGTGTCACTTGCACAAGAGTAGGTGGCTGTTTTGGCAGTGCATACTATTAAATTCCGGAGTTTGGTAGGTTCATAAAACTTGGGGGACGCATAGACGAGCTGGTTTTTGCAGGCATTTTACGGGACTTATATATACAGGCTAAATAAACTACCAGCTGTAAAAGGGCGGGAAGAGGGAAGCTTTATCCAAACTGAAGTGTTGTTCTATGATTCATTTTTCATCTATTTTTAGCACCCATTGTAAATGGAACCTTCTCTGAGCCACCAAGAATATGGTGTGACGAAGGAGAATCATCCCGTCGTCTGCTTGAAATAATTGTTTCCAAACATTCCTCGGCTTATGCAAAATTACATTGGGCAGTATCTAGGTCATGCGCGTTGTGTTATTTTTGTTGAAGAATAAAGACACCAAGGAATTCATAGTGTGCGCGCCTTTGAAACCGAAACGGAAACTAGAGTCGCACATTATGTAGATTTTTTGCAACGCGTGCTGTCTGTTTATTCGACTTTGAACACCGAAGTTAAACTAACATTTAATACAAACGACAGTCGGACTTCTCGTACAGAAAAATGCACGAGAGCAGGAAAAAACTAGATAAGGCAGACCCCACAGATACAAAGGCACCAAAAATGCGCCGACACGGCAGCTCCGCCGACCAATGTTGGCGCCGTCCCGTCTCACTCCCAACCGACCCCCACGACCCCGAGCTAACTCCGACCGACCCGACACAGCAACCAAACGGAGCAGACGAACGCATCGACTTCTACTGACATCCGGTTCCTGTTTGCTATCAGGGGCGCGCAAGAGCGCATGCGTGGCCACCGCACGCACGCACACCGCACGCCCGCACGCCGCGCGTCGAACCGCCGTCGCCGCCGTAGCCGCCGTCACCGCCGCGCCGCTCCTGTCGCCGCAGGCCTCTTCCTCAGACGCCCAACATCCCAGCACGTTGACAACGCCGATCGCGCCGACACTTCTAGCGTGCACCTCGCGGACGCCACGTTTTCCGCACGTGTAAACCCGTGTTGGTATCCAGAGCTAACAGCGCGACCATGTCGGAGCACGACGAACCCGGCCAAGTGAAACTGAAGAAAGAAATCGGACTGTTCAGCGGCGTCATGATCGTCGTGGGTACGATCATCGGCTCGGGCATATTCGTATCGCCGAAGGGAGTCTTCGAGCACGCCGGCTCCGTCGGCGCTTCGCTTGTCATCTGGGTGCTGTGCGGACTCTTTTCGATGATCGGAGCCGTGTGCTACGCCGAACTCGGCACGTCCATCCCCAGGTCCGGCGGGGACTACGCGTACGTGCTCGAGGCGTTCGGACCGCTCACTGCTTTCCTGCGGCTATGGGTCACCGTACTCGTGGTACAGCCGGCCACGCTTGCCGTGCTGAGTCTCACTTTCGCCACGTACATGGTCAAGCCGCTCTATCCAGACTGCGAGCCGCCGGACTTGGCACTCAGACTCATGGCTATCGTCTGTCTCTGTGAGTACTTCGTTCAGCTTTTAATTCATTCGTGTTAAAGGGGGACGACACTTGTTCCATGGTCCTTGAATGCATCCTAGTCGCTCCGTGAGTGCTAATTCTTTTTCGAAGGAAGCGCGCGTCGATGATGGTTGGTGGCGATTGGTCGTGATGGGTCACTGAAAAAGTGTGATTCGCCGTGATTGGTCGCGGAATCACTGAAAAGGTGGTTCGTCATGATTGGTCGTGGTTGATCATTGAAAAGGCGTCTATGCTCGCCGAAGTTTGAACTGCCCCCGAAAATATCTGCAGCTCAAATTCTATTTTCTATATATATATATATATATTTTTTAATGTGTGGAAACTGCCGGTCGAAAATTGGGTGTTCAGACGACACACTCTTTTTCTGTTGGTCACGTGCGGCGACAACAAAGAACCCAAAACATTTTTTTGCTGCCATTTTGGGTGTTCTCAGGCCAACTGAGTCACATAATGATAATTGAAAATGGGAAAATGCATGAAACATTTTATTCTTATTTTTCATGACAACTGAAACACTAAGAAAGCGCGTGCATTGATAGACATTCAACGCGTAGCCGCTTGGAGTTACTCCCCGCGACTCCCATACACTCTAGCGTCACTATCCCCTCGGTGGTTGTCTCGTTTCGGTTCGTCTAAACAGCGTAAACAAAATTAAAAAAAAAAAAAAGAAAAAAAGAAAAAAAAAAAGATACCGATGAGTTTTTGGGGAGAGATTTATAAGGGACGCATTTCGCATCCGGGAATTTTTCTGAGTCATTATATCACTGCTACGAGAAACCGCGAAACTCAATTAGGAACCGCGAAACTGGGTCAAAATCGATTGGGTTTATCCCTTTATGTGTTTATTTCACGTACTATTGGCCCATATCTGTTTGGTGTCGTTATCTATGCTTCTGCAAACACGGGGTTAAGTTTAATAAACAATAATCCTATGTTTCTGCCAGCATGGGGCGAGAATAATGCAGGGTAAGTTGGTACTTGGACTGGTAACTGGTTATCTTATTGTTACGTCAAGGGGCCTTAACTAATATTAGGACAAATATTTAGAAAATGTAATCCTCGAATCACAACCCCCCCTCTCCCCTTCCCTCCCTCCCTGTTTCCAATGCTTTTTATTTGTTTTTATCGGAAAGCATAAAAGTACAGTTTCTCTGGTAACATCTTGCAAAAGGGCGCGAACGGGAGGGGAAACGAGTGGAGAATATTTAGGGTCCTTCGTTTTCGGGTTTTATATTTTTCAAAAACCGGGATAAAAATCGGCCCTTTGATGCAAAATAATACTCGTAAAACGAAATCGTTTCTTTTTTTTATTTGGTTAAAAAATTTGGGTTTTTCGAGGTTACATATAGAATGATACAGGTGTAATTAACAATTTGATCGGTTTGAATACAGGTATTATTTTTAAAATTGTGTACACCATTTAGCATTGAAACATGAAAAGAGCTAGCTCACACGGGTTTTAAAAGTTTTTTTTTTTTATAAATCCTTGTTGCTTACATAACAGGCTGCGTGCGCAGCATCTCTGCCTCCATCCTACACCTGTTCAGTCTTCGAGAGAACGTTCTCTCAGCACAACCTACTTACATTTGAAATGAGAAATTTCTCACTCTTCTTTTTTTCTTTTTGCGCTGGTTGAAACGGACAAAGGATACTTCACGATGGACATAATTAAAGGCAACATTTGAGGGCTTGGTTTATGTCATATGCGATTGCAGTGAATCCAAAGGAATCGAGGTATGCTCCTGAGGTGTGGAGCCAGCGCATATGTGTTCCTATCATCTCTTTGTTCCTTTCATTTTCGGAGCAGAGTAATTTGGAAGAGGCTGGAATTAAATTTTCGAATTCGGGAAAAAAATCGGAAACATGTTCCTGGTTGTAAATATTGGGAAATATTGGTTTTACCCGAAAACGAAGGGGCTAGATAGGTATATTCGCTTAATTACTTTATTTAGACGTGACTGCATATTTCCGCTCTGGTAATTGTATAAATAAATAAGAAACTGAAAATCACAAACTCAGCGTTATTCGTACCGGGAGTTCAGGTTAGAAGAGGAGGTGTGGCGACTGCTCGCGAAATTAGGCGCTAAATAAGACGAAGCAGGCCAAAATATAACAAAGACATAAGGGACCGTGTTCCTATTTACGGCTAAACAAAACCACTACGGAATTTAAAAAAAAAAGAGCTTAATTTGACTATTTTTTGTTAGCATTTTCTTCGTTTTCTGACTGGGGAGAAGGAAGCAGACGAAATGCTGAAGAGAGGAGGTGGTTTCCTCCTCTCCTCTCCAGCATTCCGTCTGCTTCCTCCTCCCCTGCCCTCCTTTCCCTCGAAAACTTTTCGTAGGTGGCGCTGCTACAAGCTTAAATGGTAAAACAAAATGGCTAGGTGGCGTAAGCTACCGCCCGATTCAAAGGGCTAAGCCGTATTCATCCATCCATCCATCTATCCATCCGAGTATGCTCGTATTATGCGCTTGGTAGGCATGAATCGTCGGGTAGAAAATCCCCTTCTGGCCCAGCATAATATTGCTTCAATTTATCGAACCAAATGTATCTGCCACGCTTTGCTTTTTTTTTTTTTTTTTTTTTTATTGAACCTTATGTAAGCGCTTGCATCTGAGTGCACCGGATACAAAGAGCTCATGTGAAGTTGACGCACACAAAACACCTGGTCTGTACTAGACTTTGTCTTTTTCTTTTTTCACCACGTATCCTGTTCGTAAGAACCCTACCCTATCTTTTTCTTTAATATTGTTCGCTTTTTCATATTGTTTCGGCAGTACGCTTGTACTTAGGAAAAGAAAAAGTGTCGACGTATGCACCTTAAAATATTTGTCGAATGGTTGTGTTACACTACCCCCCTGTTTCATAAGTTGGACTTTGGGTAGGAAGTGCTCAAATGAACATTTTCACTTTCATAAAATGGTGAATCAGGTCTCTAAGTTTCCCGAAATGCTCAGTGCCTTTATTAATCGTTGAAATTAGACTTAGGATTGTATTAGATACTGTAGACTTACTCTTGCCTCCATTGTATGCGCGTACCATGTTTTGTGTATTCACACTGGAAGCGGATCCGCGTTCGCAAAGCGGTTGCGAACGCGGTTGTATAAAAATCCAGTGCAATTGCACGCGCACTCGATGACATCAAGTGCGCGTGCAAATGTACTGGATCTTTATACAACCGCGTTCGCAACCGCTTTGCGAACGCGGATCCGCTTCCAGCGTGAATGAGCGGTTAGGCGCCCGTTTCCGGTTTGAGCGGCGTCGCCGTCGGCGTAACCGCGCGGTGCATCATGGGAAATGTCCCATAATGCACCGCGCGGGATCCTCGTGACGTCACGTGTGACGTTACGAGCGTCCCGCGCGGTGCATTTTGGGACATTTCCCATGATGCACCGCGCGGGGGGGGGGGGGGGGGGGAGGGAGAGGAGGAGGAGGGGTATACCCTCCCCTCAGTACTTTTTCGTCCTCCTCCTCAAGAGCTGCGCTCGAATTCGGTGTTACAGGGAGTTGTAAACGGCTTTCATTTTTTTTTTTGTTACGATTTTATAGAATTGTCAAATTATATTCACAACCCTCCCTCGTGTATAATACCAGGAAACCGGTCTTCGAGGTAACGAAACGAAGAAAGCGTGCAACGGGTACCAGTGACTACTTGAAGCTGGGCTAGTTGGTTCATGCTTGTTAAAATGCCAGCTGAACGTTTGAACGACACACACACACACAGACGAACAAAAAGGCAGACACACCACTGGACTAGCAATCATTTTAATAAAATCGTCTTTCTCTTTAGTCTACATAGAGAGAGAAAAAGAGGACGAATCCGTTTAGCATAATATGTAGGCTAAAGAGAAAAAAAAAAAAGATTCAATTAAAATAGTTGCTAGTCCAGCGGTGTGTCTGCCTTTTTGTTCGTCTCTGCGTGTGTCCGTCCTTCAAACGTTCAGCTGGCATTTTAACAAACGGATACCAGCTCTTCTTCACACGCGCCGCCTTATATTGAAAAAAAAATAGAAATACGAATATGTGATTTGTCCAATCAACACGTAAGAACCTACATTAATGAATAAGGCGTTTATATACGCTTTTATCTGGTCTTATATATATATAAAAAGTCCAATTAACATATAACTTACAGAACCGAATAAGACGCACAAAATATTTCACATGATTTCTTACGTTCTCATCTGTTCATTAAAATTTTCACGTTTCTTTTTTTTTTTGTTCTTATTTATTTAGAGTGGTCGATGACAACCTCTTTGGCTCTCCAAATAAGAGGAGAAACAAAGAAAGAAAGAAAATCGAAACAAGATTATCTCGGCGATAAAGAGTCCACTTTGTGAATTTAGCTCGCCGTTAAAGTAGCGGACCCGGGAGAGAAAGTGACACCCGATTTTTCGACGACGTGCACGAGTAAAGTTGGCATGGGTGAAGGCTGAAACTCGGCCAGAACACGACGTTGGTTTCTGCCGCAGTCGACGCTATGAGCTGAGAGGAGCAGGAAAGGCTCAGGGACTCGCGCTTTTTCACGTTGTTCGATTAGTCTCTTCGACACGTGGCGTGGGCTACGTCCGGATTATCAAGCGAAAGGATGCGAAAGCTTCGGAACATCAATTTTCCCGAATAAAACAATAGAAAAATAAAATCAAGACGCATTTTTGTTTTTCTTAATGGGCCGGCGTAACTTACACGGATATTCGTTAAACCTAGAAATAGCATTGTGGGCGTCAAAAAAACTTTATTTCAACTACAAAAAAAAAAAAAAAAAAAGAAGTTGTCAGCAAGAAGTGCGATACTTTTTTTTTTCCTTCTCATTTGCTGACAACTTTACGGTATTAGCTCCGATCAACTCCGATTTTCCGACGAAAAATTAACTCCTTGAAACAACCCTCCGAAGTCAACAAAAAAATAAAAATAAAGTAAAAACAGGGGAAAGTTAAAAAAAATTAAGTAAATAAAATAAAATTAGTTGTGTTGCG